AACGCCACACTCAAGAGGGCGCCTCCCGGACTGCTGTTCCCCAAGCACCACCCTTTGTCCCCGACCCTGGAGAAAAGAGACAAGCCACTGTAAAGCCAGTCCCTGTATTCCCACGTCGGTGAGGCGGTGGGCGAGCAGCTGGTGGTCGACCATGTCGAACGCAGCCGACAGGTCTAGCAACAGCAGCACCGCCGAACCGCCCCGATCCAGGTGCCTACGGAGGTCGTCAGTAAGAGCGACCAACGCCGTCTCCGTCCCGTGACCCGGGCGGAAGCCGGACTGGAAGGGATCAAGAGTAGAAGCGTCATCCAGAAAACCCTGCAGCTGTACCACCACCGCCCTCTCAATCAATTTACCCAAATAGGGCAAATTGGACACCGGCCAATAGTTGTCCAATTTGGCCGGGTCTAAGGTTGGTTTTTTCAAGAGAGGGCGGACCATCGCCTCCTTGAGAGCTCCTGGGAACAATCCCTCCGCGAGGGATTTGTTGATAATCTCCCTAAGCGCTCCTCGAAACCCCTCATGGCCCGCTTTGATGAGCCAGGAAGGGCACGGATCAAGGGAGCATGTGGTTGGGCGTACAGCTACAAGTAGTCTGTCAACTTCCTCAAGACTGAGCAGGTCAAAATGATCCAAAACCGACGCCGACGTGCAAGGGGCTCTCTCATATATTTCCCATTTTTACCCCTTTCCTAATGAAACTGGTTTCTCTCACACTTTATTTGGGGGGGGGAGCAAAATGTATTCACAACAAAGCCTTTGCTCAATAATCTGAACTAACTTTTTCATATTGGTGACTTCTGGCAAACCCACCAGCCTGCCAAAACCCGCCCAGAAAGGGCAGATTGAGGTGGGTGTGGTTTTTTAAAAAAATTTGCATCTCAATAGCAAAAAGTAAAAGTGCCTGCACTGAGGCAGCTTCCTCTGCGCTGCCTTACAAGTGCTCCTCTCTCTCTCTTTCTCCCTCTCTCTCTCTTTCTCTCTCTCTCTCTCTCTCTGGACTGGTTTCTACCTCTCTCTCCAGCCTGAGCCGGGATTATGTTCCCCTCTTCAATACTAAAGCCAATAATGGTGCAAATAAATTATCTTTTGTGCTTCAGCTACTGTGCTTTACACAAGAGTAAATGGAGCTACTCTCATGAAAAGAACGCAGAGTGAACTAGGCTGCTGAAATGCTCCAATGCATGTGCAAAAATCCCACAAACACCCCCCCCCAAACAGATGGAACTCCTGAAGGGAAGTCTGAAGGAATCATACTGATGGCATCAGAAGCTGCACAACACATTCAAAAATGCAAGATATGGCTGCAATCTGAAAACCCCCTGAGAGAAGACCTCTTCTGGGGGGGCGGGGACAGGGGAGAAAGCAAAGGCTGGTGGAATCAAATGACTGCTCCCCGGCAAGTTCCTCCCAATTCCTTCTAAGCACTACACCACATTGGCTATCTGTGCAGCTCTGGCAGTTGGATCAGAAGTTATAACACAAATGTGACATGTTTATACACACAGTTGTTCATCCAGTTTAGGGATACATGTGCAGAAGAAATCTACATCCAAGCATATACCAGCCTGAGTTGGACTATGAATTTTCAGGTTTGACACTTGCTTTCTAAAACATACCTCACAGCCTGCTTGAGTAAATGGACAGAACCACCATCATAGTCACAGGTTCCAATGTGGGAAGTGTCATCATTAGCATACTGAATCCAGAAGATCCTCTCATCAATAAAATCCAGTGCAATAGCTTTGATTTTCCCCACACTCCTCAAAACATTCCATACCTCTTTTCCATTCAAGACTGCTCTGTAGATGCACCCAACATCACCAATGGAAGACCAAAATAAAAAACTGTAGGGGACAAATCATTTTTTGTTATTAAAATTTTCAATGGCAATCCAGCAGATCACATAAGCCTTCTATAAAGTATATGAAAACCTATTTTCAGTACTCAGGTTAAATCCTGGTACCTAGTCCTATTATTTCATTTATCAGATGTCTTTTTCTGTTGGTTGCACTGAATTACATTGGGTAATTTGCCTTCAATCTCAATGACAAAGCAGGCTATACATAATTTAATAAATAACTTAAAATAAAAAAAGTATTTATAATTGATTGGTCATTATTTTGTTCTGGAAGATAATTTCCTGAAAGACGGACTGAACATTTTTCTGTTGAGTCCCCTTTTGTAAAATTACTGGTTCCTCCCCCCGCCAAAAAATTGGTGTCTGTCACTTGGATGATGCAGACCTTTCAAAGGCTATTTACAATACGGCCCTAATTAGACTCACATTTTTAAAGTCCATTAAAGTCAAAGAGCTTAAAGGATGACATTCTGTTTAGGATTGCACTATTTGGGGGGGGGGGAGACTGCCAAAGGATGACAGCCACCAATCTTAAGGAATACCAGTAAACTCTTTCTTATAGTCCTTTAAAAGTTTTTCTCAGTTTACTGGATGCTTTCTAAACAGCCTGCACATTTAAGTGTCATACTTTGATGCAAAAATGTGAACCTTCTAAAATTGTAAACTGGCAATAATAATTCTGCTTTACTTAAAGGAGCATGCTACGAACACCCTGCCTCACAACCATTCAGATATTACGTTGGAATGTTTCATTTACTGAGCAGCAATCTCTCTGAGAGCCATCTCAGTTACCTTTTGCCTGGATCAACTGCAATGCTTGTGGGATGATGTTCATCTTTGAAAAGGATTCGGGAATGGTTTCCATTCAAGCTTATTGCCTCAATGGTGGTCTTCTGGTAGTGAGCCAAATAAATGCCTTGGTTTATCCAATCTACAGCAAATCCAGAGATATCTTTTCCTGTATAGTAAATTATCTACAACAAGAAATATTGTATTGCAGGTTGCATCACTCTTTTGGGTGTTGTAAGGCATTGGAACTCATGTAACTTATACCTGTCATGTGCAAGTCCTGTTGCCAATGTCCTGTACTGGCAGCCAGCAGTGGGGAAACTGTGGAAAACACTAAAGGCAATGGGCTTTGAAGCGTGTAACAATGCTTAGGATGGCACTGTCAAAAGAGATGGTCACCTCTGTATTAATCAACCTGACAGTGCAGACATCAGCATTTGGCCATATCATAAATTTAAAGCAACAGCCTATTTTCTGATGTGCCATTCAAGTGTTAAAGAATAACATGGGGAGAGTTTCATATCAAATGCTTACCACTCTTCCAGTGTTCCCAAGCCAAGATGAAAAGCTTGAAATTGCTCCTTTGAAAATAAATGCAATCTGACTTAACTACTCTCAGATGGGCAGGAGGAATCTTGCTCTTCTTTGAGAATAATCTTTTGGATGATGTTCTTAATTGGCTTGTACTGGTCGGGGGGGGGTGTCAGTGGTCCAGTTTCCTATAAAGTTTGCTTATAACCATCAGGCACAAGTTTTTTTCAAACATGGCTCACTAATACCATCATGGCCAGGGACCATCTCACTGCATCTCCAATCTGCATATTTGTTACTTATGCTCATATGAAGATGTTGTAACCTGCCTGCCTTCGTATATGTATGCATATGCAGGAAGATAGATTTTGTTGTTTTATTGCATCTGCTTATTCTTGCCTTATGCCTAAGCCTGAACTATTTTCAAAATCTTTTCAATAAAGCCTGTTGCTTTTATTGGTGTGTTCTACTACATATGTGAGAGTCCAATCCCAGTCTCCATCAAACTATCAGAAGGGGATTTGTTCTAGGATCCCAGGTCTGGGGAAAGGGGAATCAAATCATCCTCGCGAAGATGCGGTGGGTCAGAAACACGTCTTTGACAGGCACTACAAAACATACACACTATAAAACATAAATGTTTTCTTATAAGTAAACCCATCTTATTAGCACTTCCTAGTAACCATGCATGTGGCAGCAGGGCTTACTGAGCTGAACTTCAGAAACATTTTCTGCCATACATTAATAGCTAGTTATACCTTTTGTACACTAATTTGGGCCCTTTGCCATGTCCTGATAACCCGGCTTGCCTGTGTTTTCAGAGTGAGCAGTTATAACCCAAAACCTCTTTCAACATCATTCTCATGCACAGAATACAGATGAAAATAAATCCCTCTCCTTTGAACAACAGGGAGAGAAGGGATCTTTATACAACATTGTGAATCTCACTTGCCACAGAGAATTTTGAGAATTCCATTACCTCCCGATTTGAGCCGTTCAGGTGTACTCGTTGGAGAAGACCTTCTTGCGCATCTATCCAATAAACTTGTCCATCTTCATAATGGAAATCTATCAGTGCTGATAAGCCAGTGTGGGTCACCACTCTCTTGTGATTGGTCCCCTCTGTATCTACTCTAAAAACTGCATTTCCTTGGCTGAAAACTAGGAATGGTGTAGGATCTAAAGACAGACAGACAGGACAGATGACTAAGTTCACAGATAAGCCAGAATCCACTTTGTCAGATGCACAAGTTATATAATGAGATTGGCTACCAATAAAACTCTGTGGTCTGGATCTAACCCTGGATATTTTTAGTGGCACACAATGAAATATTAACTGATATGAAGAGAAACTTTGTCTCAAAATTTAGATTGGTATTGACCCATTTTCTATAGGTATGTGAGATCAAAACATGTAATTCTTGTGATGTGCCAGGACATATGTGTTTCTGTCCTCAACTCACTACCCTTGACTAATTTATGTTTTAATTTATTTGGTAAATTGTGGCTGATACTTGATTCACTACAACATAAGAGAGAGGATGATTACTACTTTGATGTACATTGCAAAATATTTGGAAAGTTCAGTTTATAAGAGCAACTTCTGCATTCATAAAGAAGCTTGCCCACTGTTTGCATGTAAAAATATTTAAAATATGTGGACTTGTGCTGCAAAATTAAAGAACTACAACTACCCATAATCCTTCTTGACTGATTATACTGGCTTTCTATGTGCCATCTACTGAGATTGAGTTCCCTTATAGCCTATTGCTTTTGAATAAGAACAACTCGAAATGCGGCAGCCAGCATCCGGACTACGTGTCATGGCTTTTTATGGCTTATGGAACTTCTGAAATGTCCACTCCATGATGAATTGCACATCAAATTGGACTTTGATATTACAAAGTGAGACACAGTAAAATACTTGGGACTTTATTTTTCCATTTATTCTTCTTTCTGTATCTTGGTTACACCTGGGCCAATATTGTTATATAATTATATTTTTGCATTATTGAATTATTATTACACATTTCATATATTGGTTATCTCTAGTCAGTGGTTTTTGTGCTTTGTTCCATTACCCAACTTATAGCTTGGCATAGTGGAGCGGATATAGAATTCGGGAATATTGACACAATTTTGAACACAGTTGCTAAGTCTCCCTTTCAGACATTCACCAATATCTGCAAAGCAATTACTTATAGCAAAGTATCCAACAGTTTGTCAAATTCTAGACCTGTCTCTGTGTAGATCAAGCTGAAACAAGTGAGGCTTTCTTATATAATTTCAGACCACTGGTCCACCTAGCTTACTATTGCTTAGTCTGCTGGCAACAGCTCTCCATAATCTTCAAAACAAAATTACCTTTCCCAACACCTGCTGCTTATGATCTGTTTAGTTGGAGCAGTGATGGCGAACCTTTTAGAGACCGAGTGCCCAATCTGCGACCCAAAACCCACTTATTTATCGCAAAGTGCCAACACGGCAATTTAACCTGAATACTGAGGTTTTACTTTAGAAAAAACAACTCATACATTAATTTAAGATGATTCAAACAAAGTAAGGAAAGCAATCCCAAATGCTTTCATTTACTTAAAATTATTTGGCAGAGAATTCAACACTTTAATGATGGTCTGGGCCTTGCTGGGGCGATGGCACGCGTGCCCACAGAGAGGGCTCTGAGTGCCACCTCTGGCACCCGTGCCAGAGGTTCGCCAATTACACTAGGGATTACCACTAGGGATTGAACCTCCAATTTTACACATACAAAGCTATGTGCTCTGCCACTGATTCTTGGCCTCTTCAATCTAAAATAATGTTTCTTTCCAGATGCTAGAATCTTATGAATGTAGGTTTGCCAGATCTGGGTTGGGAAATTCATGGAGACTTTGGGGCTGAAGCCTGGGGAAGGTGGGGTTTGAAGATGGGAGGGAGCACAGCTGGGAGGTTGGTAACCATCCTTTCTTGGAGTTACAGTATTTCCTGGTCTTGGATGAATATTTCACTGTAGTTGTGCATTGATCCCATTAAATTCTATGTGATGTACATAGAAATCAACCCCCAAAGGAGCCCTGGGTAAGCAGCCATGCTTTTGAGCCACCTCCATGATCCCTCATGACATCTGAGATTGTGAGAGAGACTCCATGTTTTATATTAAAATGTAATAAATTAAGATGGGGCCACAAACAATTAAAGATATTGAGTTCCAAGGAAATAGACAGGTTTCCTTGAGGGGCCTGAAACTCCTTGACAATGGCTGTATTCTGTGGTTTGGTTTCCTGAGGGCCCATCAAAATTCAGGCTATGGTTAATGCTGTAGAGGACATCAGCCCTCAAGGACCATGCAGGAATCCCCTCTTCACTCAGACCCTCTTCCTCACTACTTCTCAACTTCTCCAGGATCAGGCTGTTGGAAGTGAAGGGGTGTGCAATGCCTCTTTCCATCGAGCACACCAGTACTCCAGAGGGGGCAGTAGAGCTACTACAGTGGACAGGTTCAATCCCTTTGTATCCTTTCTCTCATCTGTTCTTGATGCTGTTTCTGTTTGCCCAGAATGCTAATATAAGGGACTTCCTTCAGGCTGCCTCCTTTCCTTCTTGTCTTGTGCATGCCCTCCCTAACCTCCATGACAGCAAGATGTGCTCTCAGAATCTCTGTCCAGCTTCTATTTAGAAAACTAATGATAACGACTATTCTGCCTGTCACAGCATGAATATCTTTATCAGTAATGAACATACATTGCTTTGCTATGGCAACAAGCCATAATAACAAATCTGGATATATAAATAAATAAATAATATATGCAGCTCTTAGGTTTACAGTAGCTTTTTGCCAACAGTCAAGAAAAGTGAAAGATTAATATGGACCATGGGGCTTTTTTCTGAGGCTATCTTGAGTCTTCAGTGCAAGAAATGCCATAAAACTAACTCAGACTGGATCAGTCTTTGCACTTCTATCACAAAGTCAGAATAATTCAGGGTTAAACCACCATTTTAATGACTTTGGAACACTTTTGTGTTGACTTTGGAACCACTTTTACTCAGTTTTCATTGTGGTCTCCTGGTAGTTCATAGAATATTTGTTTAATTCATTAATACTCTGACTTTTACTTTAATAAGTATTCAGATGGTTTACAATAAAAAACTAAGATTTACATACATAAGAAGAGTCCTTGCTGGATCAGACCAGTGGTCCATTTAGTCCAGCATCTGCTTTTACACAGTGAAAAAGAGTTGGTTTTATACACCACTTTTCTCTACCATAAGGAGTTTCAAAGCAGCTTAGATTTGCAACTGTGCCACTCAACTTCCTTTATTGCAACACTGTTAGAGTACATTGTGGTTAGCTGCACCCAATACCCCATTACAAAGTGTCCACCCAGCTCTTCTCCACCAACAACCCTCCATGTGTTTCATCACCATCTTTAAGGCACCCAACAGACAGCCCTGCCTCCCTTGTACCCAGTTGATTCCTTGTAGCTCCAGTAGCATGCCCCCTCCTCCCACAGCAGCCACTGCTAGCAGACAGCCTTGCCCAATGGAATGGGTGTCAGGCACAACCCCACTGGAGGGTGGTCCTGTATGGTTCTGCAACCTCCAAGAAGTCCTGCGCCCCTGGGTCCCAAAGGCCCACTGGTGGTTGCCACTATTCTCCTCTGATTCTGGCCACCCAGTCCCATTGACTCCCACGGCCACATCAATTCTTACCCTTCCCCTCTTACCTCCCCCCCCCAGCACTTTGTACCTTCACAGGGTACCTCCCAGCTGGGTCTTGTAAAACTCCCAGAATTGCAACCACTCTTCAGACCACAGAGATTGGTTCCCCTGGAGAAAGTCCCCTGGAGGCAGGCCCGTAGCTAACATGGGGCCCACGGGGCCCGGCCCCCTTGTGTTTCTTCTGGGCCCCCTCCCTCCGGGGCTGCCCCCAAAGTGCTCCAACTTACCACCTGCACTGTACTTCCATTTAATTAGCTGGTGGGGCCCCCCAAGGCCCCCTCCCAAAGAATTCCCTAGCTACGGGGCTGCCTGGAGGGTAGATTCTATGGCATTATACCCTGCTGAGATACCTCCCCTCTCCAGCCCTGCCCTCCCCATGTGCCATCCCCAAATCTCCACAAATTTCCCAGCCTGGAATTGCAAAACCTACCTTATACCAAACACCAAGGGTGAGTTCTGACTTTTGGACAAGCCTAAGGTAGGGATAACTAGTGAAACTGGGTTGAGCTCTATTAGGAATCAATCTGTTTGGCTGTTGCTCATTTCACAAACACTGATATGATTCTTGTGCCCCATCTAGTTATTTGCAGTTCACTATTTCCTCAAATTTATATTGCTCTTTCAATCTACCATAATTTCTTGGTTTTCCTTGCCTTAATTTTCTGTATGCAATAAAGTACTGTCTTCCTCACTATCTGCTATTTCAAGTCCAGTTGATTTGAAGCCTAGGGGTGCATGTGTAGTCTGAGCATTTCTGGTGAAACCATCCAGGACCAATACCAATCACTACATGCAACAAAGCATTAAGTCAAGCTGGATGTTGCAGCTGGCTTAAATGAAGAAGAGTTGGTTTTTATACCCCTCTTCTCTCTACCCTAAGAAGTCTCAAAATGGCTTACAATCTCCTTCCCTTCTTCTCCCCACAACAATCACTATGTGAGGTAGGTGGGGCTGACAGAGTTCTGAGAAAATTGTGACTGACCCAAAGTCACCTACTTCTCTCACTCTGCATCTGCTGCTCTATAGCTCCCTATTAAAATGCTTAAGCAACATTAATATCTGTGTCCATATTTCAAACTTTATCTGCCTATAGGTATGCATAAAAATCTGAATTTGAAAAACAGAAGTATAATTCAATTAAACAATGCAACAAAGAAATAAGCATAAAGCTTGACACCCACGTTCTGCAGTTTTCAAGTGGACTTTTCCTGTGTAGTCTCAGAAGTTTCATTTGCAAGAAATAGTTCACGTTCCCTTCTTACATTTTACCAAGTTAAAAGCCCTAACTGGATTATATATAAAACAGCATGTCAATCCCAACTTTCAGGAGACATAAAAGATCTAGCAATGGTGTTATATGTCTAATGGTCCACCTATGCAAACTATCAACTGATGCCACCACCATCAAGAGATACACATTTGCTGCTCAGTACGGTGGCTCAAGTGGTAAAGATGCTGAACTCCAGGCTGTGGAAGGTCAGTAGTTCAGCAGTTCAAGACCCGAGTTGCCGCATGATGGAGTGAGCTCCCGTCTCTAGTTCCAGCTCCTGCCAACCTAGCAGTTTGAAAGCAAGAAATTGCAAGTAGATAAATAGTACCACTTGGGTGGGAAGGTAACAGCGTTCCGTGCGCCTTGGTGTTAAGTCATGCCGGCCACATGACCACGGAAACGTCTTCGGACAGCGCTGGCTCTTCGGCTTTGAAGATGAGCACCGCAACCCTAGAGTCAGACTCGACTGGCTTTCGAGCAAGGGAACCTTTAGCTTTACCTTTTTACTGTGGGATGAGTGTGCAGCCTATCCCCCTCAGAGAATGGCAGGCACCAGACTTTGAGATGAGGAAGAGTGACAGCTGCTGGCATAATATTATGGAATCAGCTCACTTATGAGATCCACGCTCTCCGGGATCTCTGCCAGTTCCGGAGAGCGGTGAAGACGGAGCTATTCCGCCAAGCATTTATCAACCCGGACTAAGCATGATAGCACTTTATAGTTGCCGCCATGGGCATGTTGTACTGTGTGTAAATTACGATTTTAGTGTACTGTTATAGACTGTTTTAGAGGCATTGTTTTATTGGTTTTAATGTTGTAAGCCGCCCTGAGCCGCTTCGGCGGGAGGGCGGGATAAAAATCAAATAAATAATAATAATAATAACCAGGGGTCATTTGGGGGGGGGACGCGGGGGGACGCCATCCCCCCGGGTGAGGTGCGGGAGGGCGGGGCCTGGAGCTCCCTGCTGGTGCCCGCTGGAGGTCGCCGCCGGCTGTGGGGAGGACACACTTCCAGTGATGTCAGGGGGTGTGGCATATGCTAATGAGTTATGCTAATGAGTCCCCCTAGCTCTTTTTCTACGAAATGACCCCTGATAATAACCAATGAAGTGTCCTGGAAATACAGCTGTCCCTCCTTACCTGGTACACTTTTAATGCACAGCTTCCCACTTTTCTCTCCTTGTTGGATTAGCAGCCAGTCGCTTCTGGGCCAAGAAGGAATGTTTACAATTCCTATCTGACCAACCTAGAAAAAGAATACTTTTTCTTCTGTTTCACACTTGTGATGAATTGAACTATATAAACAGGCCCAGACAGATTCATGAGGCTCTAACTGGGGTTGGCAGGAGTTGTGAAGCTTAGGTGCTTGCTATATATTTAGATGGGTGAGCTCCCTGAGGCACTGACAGATGGAAGGACATACCCAAACCAGTCACTCATGACTGAATGGTTACAGGGGCTTGGAGTTAATTCCTTGGTACTGCACATCATCACTTGAACCTTTACACTGTACGGTGGGGAAGTTGTCTCTCTGCACAAGTTTACACTGTATGGTGGGGAAGCTTCTATCTGCACAAGTTTCTTGCAGGCAAGGAAAAGCAAAGGGTGGCCATGTTGAGCTTGGAGCCATGGCAGAGTTGCCCAAACACTGGGAAACCCAATGGGCCAGGCTTTTAGGGAACCTTCACAATTGGTGGAGTGAGCTTCATTAGTTGTACAGTACATATTGTGATTACTTAACCATAGTTTAATCCTTGTATTTGTCTGTTATCTTCATCTGGGATATGGGAAGAATCCCTCCTTATTGCCACTTGACTCTCCTTTCTCTCCCAACCCAACAGTTAGTGAAAACTCAAACATTTGACATGTGTATCCCTTTATAATCTTCCCATGCTGAATATGATAGATCGAGCTGTGAGAACAGGCTAGAGGGCTCCAGGTAATTCTGCAGGCTACAAGCACATGCAGAATTATTTGAAAATGTGATCAGGCAACCCTAGAGGAACAAATTTAAAACAACAGAAGAAGACAGCACAACAAAACTCATAATAAACCTTTTTGATCTGAATCCTAAAGACACTTTCCTGGGAGTTATCCCCATGAGATTTATTTCTGAGTAGACCTGCTTAGGTCTGCTCCTTTAATTTCTTTGCAAAGAGAAAAGCCATGTTCTTAATACCTAAGAATTTTTTTAAAAAAACACAAGTACTTTGTCCATCAGGTACAACCAAGTCTTAGTCATCATCATCGGTCTTTAAACCCAAAGTAAAGGGTAGCTGCCACCTTGCTGCAGCTGTTCTATACACCCTGACAACTATTTCCCTGTAATGAGAAATAACTTTCCATGTGTTAAATAAATCCTCTTAAGGAACACAATGGCCCAACAGGCAGCACTGAAAGAAAGAATGAAGTCTTGCTGAAGGCTCAAAGACGTCTTTATGCACTCTCAGCAGAGACTGTCTTGAGAATGAGTAAAAACAATGAATCATGTCATTGCTATGCTGGCAGTGAGTTCTTAGTGCCATTGTACACAAGTAGACTCCTTCACTGAGAGTCCGAAAAAATGTCCTGATTAAAGAAAGCAAAGCATTAGCATGCACGGCAGCCAAGCAGAGACCAAACCACTGCATTCTGGAGTCAAAGTCTACCTTCATATATTTCCCACCTCACTGAAGTTCCTTGGAATTTTTTGGGTTGCAATGGGGATGAAACAATTCCATTACTGGGCAGTATCATAAAACAAATCTGAGTTAAGAGAAACCAATGACAAGTTGTTGTCTCTTTAAAGATCATATTCATAAAATGTAGAAAGGAAGGACTTGGAGGAGAGGCCTGGGATCAGATTAAATGTGTTGTTCCCAAGACTTGTGTTTGCATGAAGTTGGGCTGCCAGCATTGCAGCAGAGAAAGCAGAAATTGAAATTCTTTCAATTAACAATCCTAAGGGCCTTCTGGCAACAGAGACCTCAAAAAAAAAAAAAAAAAAAAAAACACCAGGCTGGTACAAGCAAATATGAGTCACAACAACAAGAAATAACACCAGATCACAAGTAAGGTAGTTAAATGGAACTACCTTACTTGTGATCTAATGTTGTTTTTTGTTGTTATGTCTATTTGTTAATTCTGTCACATTGGCCCAAAAAAGAAATGCCCAAGGGAAACAGGGTATTCCCCACTAAGAGATACCTAGTGGCCATTAGTTGACTGAAATGAACAGCAAAAATAGCACCATGGAGATGGGAAAAGACAGGTTGAAATGATGCTAGGATCTCGTCTGTAGTTAAAAGCAGGAAATTCTGTCACTAACCCATGCGACAAAGCAGCTTCTTGCTCTTATATTAAGACTCCATTGGCCACATCAGAATCAGAGGACCATCCAGTTTTTTAATGTTGTGCTCAGCTAAGTACATAAAAACATCCCAGTCATAATTTCTTGTGTAATGTCTATGATGGATAAGGAGCTCTGGAGCATGCATCACTGTGGAATTGGAGCTGATGGATCATTTCCTGTTCAGCTACAAAGGAAGGCTGCTGACTGAAGCTCTATCATAACTAACTGCCATTCTTAATCATCTCAAGGAAGGATGAACAATCTACCCCAAAATTATTTACTACTCTGTTATTGTATCAGTGTACTTACTCTTGGTTGGCACTGTGTGTGTGTGTGTGAGTGAAGTGTCAAGGCCACTTATAGCAACCCTATGAATTGACCTCCAAAACATCCTGTCATTGACAGCTTTGCCCAGGTCTTGCAAACTGAGGCCTGTAGGCTTCCTTGATTAAGTGAATCCATCTCATATTGGGTCTTCCTCTTTTCCTGTTGCCGTCAACATTTTCTAGCATATTGCCTTTTCCAGTGATTCTTGTCTTCTCACAGTATGACCAAAATGTGATAGCCTCAGTTTGGTCATTTTAGCTTCTAGAGAGAATTCAGGCACTACACCTGCTGTATTTGCACTAAAAACTTAAACCAGTTTAACAGTCATTTCTTCTCCACAACAGTCCCTAGGAATTGTATTCTGTGAGTCTGGATTAGAGTTCTCCATTAAAGTTCCCAGAATTCAGGTGGGGTGGGGAATATGACTATTAAAGTGATATATATTTGTAGCATAGCTATAGCCTCAGAAGTCTGAGCAATTCCTCAAGTAATAGTTATTAAATGTAATGGGTAGGCATGAACATTCTCTCAAATTTCTTTTTTGCAGTAAGCATGAGAATGTTTTTATAAAAAGTACTACCCAGATATTTATCATATATGCAGTTGTTTTCCATTTACCAGTTGAAGACTCTTGGGTGAAGGCTTGAAACACCTGTTTTTATTCCACTGGAAGCTTACCAAGAATGGTTCATAGCTAAACATATATTTTTAACTTCTGAAAACATGTATACCAATTGTATAGTGACAAAAACATTATCCATCTAACAAAGGCACAGTTCACAGAAATACAGATTAAAGACGTTCTGACTATTTAAATATTTGATCTGATGTTGAGAAACCAATTCGCTTACCTGTACAAGTGGAATTTTCATGCTGCATTTGAGATCCCCTGGGACAATTCCAGTGCTGCTGAGCTGAGACATTGACAAAGGTGGTTTTGAAAACCACAAGAGCTGTAAGTAAGTAAAACATTGTCTTGAAGGTTATTTTCAATGTCACTAAAAGAGTGGCTTTCTTGACTTCAGTCATCGGCAGAACATGTGCATAATCCCCGAGGTGTGTCTGTAACAGCCAAATGAGAGACATCTCTTTCTGGCTTGCTTCCCACTAAAGTGCCAAGGTGCTCACTGGCCCCATCTCTGACCTCTGAAGAAATTCCAGGGTGATCTCCTCTGTGCTCATTTACACACCTCTTTTTAAGGGGTTGTTTTTTTTTTTTGGAAGCCAAGTATGAAATGCCTGATCCTCTTGTTACAATTTCAACTTGGCTTAAAACCAACATTCATATGCCTGACTGCAAAATTCCTGTGCAGTAAACAAAGTGGTAGATTAAATGCTTAAAACAAAAGAGTGCCATTTTAAATAAAATAATAATAATCCTTCAGGAAACATTTGAAAATAATACTTGGCATTCTGTAGTGGGGACTTTCCTCACCCCCAAACACAGAGTCCTCATGCACAGATTAGAAGGGTTCCTTTCCATTTCCCCAGCTTGCCTTGCCCCGCCTCTTCAGTCCCTCTTTAGTGCCGCTTCAGCAGAGCTTGTGTTTGCAAACAGAAACGTTGTCAGCTCTCAGGGAAGCCAGCCAGAGTGCAGCTCTTCCATCACCCCTAGTTAATAACCTGCTCTTTTTTTCAGTAATTCTGATGTCTGTATCTGCACAGTGCTTTGGGTATTCTGACACCTTTGAGCACCTGAAGCAACATTTAATCTGTGTGTTCTACAGTGTAATCTATTATTTGTTTTTTATATATCCTGTTTTTCTCCAGGCTGCTTTACGGTGCAATCCTAGGGGGCGTTAGCAGTTTAAGACTGGAGGAACACTACATAGGAATGCAGAGTAGCATTTTAGCTCCTATCAATCCTGTGAGGTAGGCTAGAGGATAAGGTAATTGATAGGCCCAAGGCTGCCCAGTGAGTTCTCTGGATGAGTTGGGAATTGGAATTGGAACCTGTGAACCCTGCATTACCTGAATACCCAAATACAAGGTGCAAGAAAAAGAATTTGATGACAGATGCAGAAGTAAGCATTCTGAAAATGTGGACTATTTTTAAAGTGGAGGGGGAGCCAGTTTGGTGCAGTGGTTAAGTGTGTGGACTTTAATCTGGGAGACCTGGGTTTGATTACCTACTCCTCCACTTGCAGCTGCTGGATGACCTTGGGCAAGCCATTGTTCTGTCAGAACTGTCCTTGAAATGGCAGTTTCTGTCAAGCGTTCTCTCAGCCCCGCCTACCTCACAGGGTGTCTGTTGTGGGGAGGGGACGGGAAAGGAGTTTGTAAGCCGCTCTGAGACTCCAAGTGAAGGATGGGGTATAAATCCAATCATCTCCATCTCCTCCATCATCATCATCATCTCCTCCCCCTCCTTTTCTTCTTTTCCAGCCATATTTACACATGTATAAGGTTAAATAAGGTGAAACACTGGAAGATCTGTGGCTATGTGCCCCAAAGCTTATTTTATTTGTAAATATCAGCTGATGGACCATCAGTCTGGATGAGGTTTCCTGTGCAAGGTAACTTTTCTCCCCCATACCATTTTCCTGACCTCAAGCACCCCTTGGAAATTATGGGGAACATATGTATAGTTCCCCATTGAAGCAAGCAGTAGTTCTGGTTTGAGGGGGGCAATGCAAGAAAACTATTGTCCATAAATGCTAAATCATGTGTCTAATCCCTTCCCCTTGCATTTGGAGCTTTGCTGTGGTCCATTTACTCACAGCCATATAATGTGTATTGGGAACATACATCACATTAAAAATGGTGGGAAGGGAGTGTAGCCCAAAGTATTATAGAGAGATCATACTGCAGCCAAGAGAGAAGAACATATAAGGGGTTTTAGAAGTTCTGGAACACGGATTTCCAATCAATGACCCTTTACGAACACACCTGAGCCTCCTAAAATCAATTTACCCTGATTGACACCTGCTTCTTCCTGTATTTCTTTAGAAAATGTATACGCTGCCTCTCCAAAGACTTACTTAAGGTGGCTCACGAAGAAAACAGAACAGTAAAATCATAACACAACAGCATAAACATAAGCTATTAAAAACAGACCATGAAAAGAAGCCATAAAAACCTTCCACCTTTCAGGTTTATGCATTACAGATTTACATGAGAAATCTGAATAGCACTTGAAGGTCTCTGCTGACTTGAATTGTTTATATCTAAATAGGTGTTTAAATGAATTTGTTAGTTAGGATTCTTCCAATAAATGTTGTTTGCTATTAACATTAAGAGAATTAGATTGGAATCATACAGCAGCTGGTGGCCCTGGCAGCACCCACAAGATGCCACAGCTGTACGTGAAGCCATCCCTGGGAATGCTGGCTCTATTCACTTAAACTGACAAAAGCAAGTGGACTCGACATTTTAAAAACAAGCAGCATGAAATACTGATTAAGTGCATCACTCTCTACCCTAGCCTGGAAAAGCAACTGCATGAAACTGTTTGCTTGGTGTTTACATTTGTGCATAGTAACCTTCTGTTTGCTTTATCTAATTGCTCCATTACTGTAAGGGCAATAAGAGAAATTGTTTCACCTCTGGCAAGATAGTTTTCTTATTACACACATGATGAGAACCTCTGAATTCATGGCTTCGGGCAAAGCTCTCCCCAGATTCTATCAACTAGATCCTGTTGCCTTTCTAAGGTCACTCAATTATGATTTCACATCATATATCTAATTCTGAACCAGACCATAGTGTGTGGACAAAAAATCTGCTAAACAGAATCAAGGACAAACAAGTGGGATTCCTCTAACAGCCTGAAGGAAGTCCCAGGTTTGCAGAAAAATCTGAAATTGAAAAAAGTACAATGGGAAATTAAAACTCACCCATATAATAGGGTGGGGAGGGCAGGATATAAATCAAATCAATCAGTTAAATAATAATAGAAACAACACCTGGAGCTGTAGAAACAGCATTCTGTAGAAAGACTGTCCACTGAGATCTCAGTGACCATTTTGGGAGGTGCTAGGCAACTATAACAAAATGGTCAAGCCTTAGTATCTGTAAAGCAAAACCATGGGTAGGGATGCCAGACAATCTCCTGTCCTTCCTCCCCCGGCTTCTGTTGAGCAGCAGGAGCAAAAAGGATGGGCCAAGTGGATCATGCAATGCAGCAACATCATTTCTGTCCCGAGAAAATAGAAGTGATGTTACCACATTGTACAATGATCCAGGAATCCTCCCGATCTCTGTGGCAAAAAAAAATATCTCTATGGTGATATCACAATGTGATTCCCACTTGTGTCTGCACACCCAAGATAGGGCTAGCAACCCAAGCCACGTAGAAGGAAGCAGGGGTGGACTGGGAGGCCAAAATGGCCCTGGAAAAATGTCCCAGCCCCTCAACCGTCAGTAGTGTTTCCAACCACCAGGTGAGGCCTGGAGATCTCCCAGAATTGCAACTGATCCCCAGACTACAGAGATCAGTTCCCCCGGAGGAAATGGTTCCTAGCACGGGCCCCTCTGCAACCTCCAGGCTCAACCCCCAAATCCCCAGGAATTTCCCAACCTGGAGTTGGCAATCCTACCTGTTAGGCCACCTGATAGAGGAGAACATGCTGGGGCCAGGCCACTGGCAACTTACTCCCTCCACTGAGCTTGGCGGCAGCCACCACTGCACTATTTTTTCCACATCTTGCAATATGATTTCTTATTGCTGGTTCTGTGATTTTCAGTGTAATCCTAAAAACTTTTCCACAAAAGTTTCAGGTTCCATTGAGATGACTTGAACAGGACTCTGGGTAAACTTGCACTGTAAACTAAGGGACCAGGGAACTTACTGCCATTTTAAAGAGTCCATTCCTAGTTGAGAATTCCTTTAAACTGTACTGCATGGACCTAGCTCTGGTCCTGCATCTTCCCAATGCTCTCTTTCTAACCCCAAATGGCATGGGGGGGTGTTAGTTGCCCGTACACCCCCACCACCGCCATTTTGGATTGGAAACACAAGTTCCTGTCCTCCCCTTGTACCACATTGGTCTTGACCAGAATCGGGGGCCCAGAGTGCAGTTTAAAGGAATTCCCAAATGAGAACTCGTTCTGGAAAAGGGGTGTGTGTGTCCTGGGGCAAACTTAGGGACTTCCATCTCACCTAGTTTGGCTCTAAATTGTGGCTGTTATACATAATTAGTTTCTTAAGATTCACAGTGCAACCCTAGACAGAGTTACAGCCTTCTACATCCATTTAAATATACAGGCTTAGAAAGGAGAGTAACTCTGTTGTAGTAACTACAACAAACATGACCAAATATATATATTGTAGAAGTATACAGGTAAGAAGGACTCAGTCAAGCCATTCCTTTCCTGCTTTTTTACTTTGCTACAATATGCTGCTGCAACATTTTTTCCTAGTCTAATGCTAATTCCTATTTATTTTTAAAATAAATAAATAATATAGCACAATAAGGCAAGGGATGGCAGAATTTAGCTTCTCTTCAGTGCAGTCCACAGCTCCCCTTTGCATGTGAAAGAACAAGCACATGTTGATATCCAATGTTCATATCTAATTTAATCCGCACATGACTGCTTTTCTCATAAAGTACAATGTTTCCTTCATGGGAAAATGTATATGCAGAATAAGATTGCAATAATTTACACACTGGGAGACAGCAGAATGAAAAGATCATGGATCAGCCATGAACCTTGAGCCAGGGAGTCTCTCTCACTCCAAACTATCTCACAGGGCTGTTGCAAAGAAAAATAACCCAGCAGGACCCCTAAACTCCTTGGAGAAATTTAGGATACTAATATGATAAATTTGCTACCCCTGGGCAACCTAGACACTGGATGCATTCCTTTAACCTTCCCGTTCAAACGGGAACAAGAGTCTTGGGCTTGTTCTTCTCCCAGTCTTGTCACTCTCCTAATCTCTCATTTGCTATACAACACACCTGAAAACTTGCATACCACAGCGAAAAGCCACCTCCTAAATTATGCAAATGTCTCAGTCCCAGGATAATTTCAGCTCTGGAAAACTTCACAGGGGAGGCCAGAGTGGGCCTCCTCTCCCATGCCTCAGT